GCAAAATATGCACCTAGAACAGGAGCAACTAAACAGAATATCTTCATTATACTGAAAGGACAGAGGCATGAATAGGGTTTGTGGTTCAGGGAGCAGTGGGTAAAACAGAGTATCTAATAGGCTTGTTTTACTCTGTAGAGTAAGGGCTTTACAATAAGTAGTCTTTGCTTTTTCTATTCAAAAGAATTTTTTGGAATTGCTATCTGCTTATTGTATTATTTAGTCTCTTTAAACTGCTCTGACAAGTTCAGTTCATACTGTTTAATAGGCAGTATGAATCTCATAAAATGAACAGTTGACAATATAGAAAGGAACCTTTAAATATCAGGCAAAATAAATAGACCTGAGAAATACGAAAATTTTAAAAGGTAAGGAGATTTTTAAAATAGCTATTTTGTTGTTTTGATAACTTCTTTATTTGGATAAATGTTAAAAGAAAATGAATGGACACCAAAGTTAAAAGAAAAAATAAAATAAAAATAGAGCCTATTTTGAAATAATCAAAGCATTCTAGTGGTAATTATAATTGGCCTTAATTTATGCCTCTAAAATTTCTATTGACATATATTCAATATAGGGAAAATGTGATTGTGGTTGCTACATCTGTTCTTGAACTAGAATAGAATTCTAGTCTTGGAAATCCTGTTCACGTGAATCTAAATATTATTTTAAGTCCTCGTTGGTCATATTGTGGAACAGAAGAGGGAATTAATAGTTATTTAGCCCTTACTTCATACTTTCATAAATGTCATCTAACTTAATTCTGACCATAGCTTTAAGAAGTAGGTATCATTATTCCCCAAACTAAAGACAAAGAAATTAAAGCTTCAAGAGCAAAGTGATCTGTCCAAGGTCACCGGCCAGGAAGCCGTTGGAACTGGGATTCAGATGGAAGCCTTTTCGATCTCATGCTCAGGTTTCCCCCCAGCCTGTCTCTCTGACTCTGGGATGGAACTAGGAACCCTGAGGCCTTTCGCTGTCTTGTCCTCATCCTCTCTGCCTTCCACACCCTGGAGAGCCCAGAGGCTGATACACATTGAGCAGGTCAGTTCCCTGCCTCCCGCTCCTGGGAGCTCAGAGGATGGGGAGGAGAATGAGGCCCCGCCCTGCTGTCCTCTGGCTGCCTGTCAGCAACATTGGGTTGGTGGCATCCCTCTCTGTGCAACTGTTCTCTCCAGGGGCAAAGAGCCTCTTCCTCACTTCTCCCGTGTCAAGCCTAGTGTGCTAAATGTCCCCACTGTCGCAAGCAATTCCTTGTTAATGTCTCATGCCACACCTTTATAACATATAGTCCCTTCATTCACTTTTCCGCCTATTAGCCAGTTGGAGTGTTCCATTTGCTTCTGGCTGATTCCTGACAAGCATCAGAAATTGGAACGGCACTGGATATTTTTTTATTTTAATTTTAATTTT